AATGAGTCTCTTAGTATTTGTTGAGGGGCTCTGTGTGCATTTTGGAGCATGCCTTCATCCTACTGCCAGTCATTTGACAGTTCTGCCTTAACCTTCACTTCCTGCTTGTGAAGCACCTCAAGGTCAACCAGAGATGAGCGCTTAGAGCAGTCGCAGGTCTTTCCTGTTCTGGGCATGTGCACAAACCTGTGCATCTGCATGGCCTTCAAGTTCCCAGGAATATGTCAGAGCTTTTCAAGGTCCCTATGCATATCTCATTCCTCTGATTTTCCTTTTAAACTTTTTGATTAGCCTATTGTTTTCCCCAAGTATTATCCACTGCCTCAGGCAGCCACAAAGTTAAACAATTGCCTCTATTTGTTTTCCACTAACTCTCCTGGGGAAAATGGTTATCATACTGGAGGAGTTTCAAGACAGATGGAGTCTTCCAAGGAACCGCTAGACAGATCAAATAATTCCAGACCTTTGTGAATAAGGTTTGAGGAGCTTCAACCCCATTCAGGAGTCAACTTTTCTCCAGAGAAGACTAGTTCCTTTCAGTGAATACTACTATTTAGAAACCAAGTTTGGATGCTACATGTTGTCATTGCAACTGGGGTGTCATTGCTTCCAGGCCCTATCAGTACAGGAGTAGGAAGTATATGTATGTGTATACATATACATAAACACACATATGTTGATTTCTTTATCTCTGTATATTAAAAACTTACACCAGTTACTCTAAATCCACCCCAATAGCACAGGGTTTATTCCGTCCTTTTGCCTTTTCATATTTGTTAACTCCTTTCTCTGATAGAAACCTGATCCCTCATCCTTAATATATTTACTGATTTGCTCAAATCCTTCCTGTATTTGTGAATTCACATACTTGCTAAACTTTATTTGTAACCTGAATCAATACTTGTGGTGCTTTTGCAGTCATTTGTGGACATGTGCAGAGGGGTGAAAAATTTGAACTGCAACATGCATATTCCTGGCTGAGGTGATACTCTGACTTCTTGTTTTAGCTATTATGCTGTAAACAAGTATCCTTCTCATGGTCAATTTAGTGTCATGTTTTTTGCATTTTTGTGCTTTTGTTGGTGATTTCCCTGGTTAAAATGGCCCCCAGGTGTAGTGCTGAAGTGCTGTCTAGTGCTGCTAAGTGCAAAAAGGCTGTGATGCTTCTTGTGGAGAAAATTTGTGTGTTATAGATGAGTTTTGTTCAGGAGCAAGTTAGTGCTATTGGCTCTGAGTTCAGTGTTAATGAATCAACAACATATTAAATAAGGTGTCTTTAAACAGAAACACACAAAACAAGTTCATGTATTGTTTGGTTGATGAAAATGTTGTGACCAGAGGCTTGCAGGAACCTAACCCTGTATTTTTCCCCTAGGAGCAATGGTTCAGTGTTTGCTAACTTAGTGTTTGTGGTCACTTTGTAAAACATAACTATGGGGAATAGGAGAATTGACTACCTGTAACGCCTTTTCCAGCTCATGGGTGAGCAAAGGAAAATACTATGTATCTTAAAAACCACATGAAGAAAGAGTCTGGTCAGTGGACTGATTAAAGTGTAGTAACAAAAAGAGCTGATCTGTGAGAATATTTTCAAATACGATGTAAAATCACCTGCAAATCACAATATGCACAGGAAATACAAACATAAAACTTATCTTTAAAGTTTTGGTTGAAGTGTTGATGAGGCAAAAGGACAATAAAACCAGTTCCCACTGAGTAATGGTGTTTATACTATCCTAAGTTAAAGCAATTTTTTTGTTTTGTTTTGTTTTGTGGTACGCGGGCCTCTCACTGTTGTGGCCTCTCCCATTGTGGAGCACAGGCTCCGGACGCGCAGGCTCAGCGGCCATGGCTCACGGGCCCAGCCGCTCCGCGGCATGTGGGATCTTCCCAGACCGGGACACGAACCCGTGTCCCCTGCATCAGCAGGCAGATTCTCAACCACTGCGCCACCAGGGAAGCCCTAAAGCAATGATTTTAACCACTGGATTTTTTTCTGAACTTGGGAGAACTGAGGTTTGCTAATTGTTATAGACCTAATGTATTTATACCTATAAGAGGATGATAAGTACTTCCACAGATTTACTGATATATATTTATAAATGAAGTATTGGGAGAGGTGGAAAGGAAAAAGGACTTAGTAGAATCAGTAGAACCAGAACCTGGAGTCTAGGTTGAAGCAAATGAGCTCATGCTTTGGGTAGGAGAGAAGAAGAGAGTCCCAGAGGAACTCCAAGGGGATTAGCTTGTGTGGAGAGGAGCAGTAATTCTCAAACCAGAGAGTATGAGTCAGGTTTTGGAACTGCTGAGTGGAGAATGCAAGGCAGAGTATGTAAGTATATTGATGGGTCGGAGTCCAGTTGGTAAAGATCAGGTGTTTAAGTTTGACTACAGAGACACTTGGAGGCACTGCAAGCTTTTGAGAAAGGGAATTCCAGGTTCAAAGCAATATTTTAAGAAAATGGCTCTTGCTGCTGTGACAGTTTGCTGGGGAAAGAGGAGTTTACTTAACATAATTCAGTAACAGTTGTTAATAGCAATAGTGAAGCCTTTGTGTGTGTGTTTTACTGTTATTGAAGTGCTTTTACAGGTGGTCCTTGGGACGCTCCTGTGAGGTAGCTTTTATTATTCCCACTTTTAGGTAAGGGAAAATGGAGGTCCAGAGTTTTGAGTAACTAGTTCAGGGTCACACAGCTATTTAATGGTAGGCTTGCGATTCAGATACCCTTTCTGCTACACCTCAGTTTCAGTTAAGGATTTCGACAAAGAATTGTTGTTGTAGGATTGGAGGAGGAAAGAAAACAGCAGCTGATTACTACTTTCTTCCAATAAGAAGCGACTTAAAGTATTGGCATGAGACCAAGTAGAGTCAAATGTTACAGAGAAAATTTTTATTGACATTGGAAAAGATATGATGAAATTCTTCAGAAAATCTTCCAAAAGTTTGCATTGTTCCTACTTGTAATGTCCTCTTACCTTACCCCCACCCCCACCCCCACTCCGCTTTGGGCCTGAATCTGCTGAAGTTTCATCTTAGCACGTATTTACATTTTTAGGAAAGGAACATCTGACATGGAATGATCTGGTAAATGTGTCAGCTGTTAGTAAACAAGAAGCCAGTAATTGTATCTCATTTGAAAACAATCCCAACAGGTCAAACCTCAGCTGAAATAAAATCCTATTTTTAAGCTTTACTTTTAATTTGAAACATAAGTTGCTGTGAGTAGCCTATTAGAAACAGTTACACAACTTTAGAAAGCATCTCTAGGTTTAAAATTCTAATACCTTTCTCCCCCTTACCCCTGGCCCTTCCTGCCTAGTCATGAGGAAATGGAGATTCAGATTCAACTTAATATTTATTGAGTTGGACATACTGCAAAGGACATTTTTTTTTCCTTAAAATCCTGAGAGGTAGGGATTTTTATTTATTTTATGGAAGAGGCAACAAAGGCTCATAGCTCACTGACAGGGGAGCCAAGAGTCAAATCAGTGCTTTCTGATTCCAAGTACAGGACTCTTCCCATAGTATTATGCTGTATTTTAATTGGTTCAAGACTAGGTCATAGAGTGGTAGAGCTAGAAGGGACTTTGGGGATATTTCCGCTACCCTTTCATCCCATAAATGAGCATGGATCCAGGAGTTGGGCTTTCTGGATTCAAATCTTAACCCCACTATTTATTAACCATGTGACCTTGGGAAGTTACTTATCCATACTTCCATTTCTCTATGCATATACGTGGGATAATAACAATATACCTAAGTCATTGTGTGGTGATTATGAGGTTTAAATGAGTTCATATATGTAAAGTACCTGAAAAATACCTGGCACATAGTAAGTGCTTATAAGTATTACTAATATTTGTTAAGAGGAAACTGAGTATCATAAAGGTGTAATTACTTCTAAAGATTATATTAAAGTAGCTGAGTTTAAACTAGGATCCGGATCTTTGACTCCTACTATTGTAGTTGATGGTTGGCAAAGTGTTTTCAGACAGTTTGGTATATCCAGTCCTCATTATGGCTCTATAAAGTCTACAGGCCAAGTGAAAGAAAACCCTTCGATCTCCCAAAGTTGGTTTCTAGAATAGAGATTTCCAGTGCTGTGTACGTGGATGCCATTTATACAGTGGGTTGTATTTCAGCTTCATAAAGTAAAGCAGGCTTCTCATTTAGCAAGGTAGAGCTTCTCCTTTCTCCAGCCTAACCTTTCACTTTAGTCCAGAGACCTTTTTGAGGTCAGTTAATGCCAGAGAGAAAAATTGGACCTCAGTCATAGCTCTAACAGCCACTTAATCTCCCTTTGTCTTGGAAATCAAATTGCCCAAGTGTGTTTTCCCACCCTAAAAATTTCAGCCCATGGGGCTTCCCTGGTGGCGCAGTGGTTGAGAGTCCGCCTGCCGATGCAGGGGACATGGGTTCGTGCCCCGGTCCGGGAAGATCCCACATGCCACGGAGTGGCTGGGCCCGTGAGCCATGGCCGCTGAGCCTGCGCATCCGGAGCCTGTGCTCCGCAATGGGAGAGGCCACAACAGTGAGAGGCCCGCATACCGCAAAAAAATAAAAAATAAAAATAAAAATTTCAGCCTTAGTTTCTTCATCCTTTTGGGGTTAATGGTAATCCTGGCACTGTTCACTGTAAAGGGATTTTATGAAGAGCTTATAAATCAGTGTTTATGAAAAGGAATTGCAAACTCTGATTTAAATGATAAGCTAACTGTAAAATGCCTGAAGTAGGTTTATTTTGTTACTTTCCTGAGAGGGAGCTCATGTCCTCCAGTTTGGGTCAGCTATTACCAGAATTCGTCTAGTCCGTGGTAGGCAGGGGTACATTTTATCCTTGGAGAGATGAGCATGGGGAGGCTTGGTCCTAGTCCTGTTTTGGAAATTCTCCTTTCATGTGCCCTGTTCTGGCAGGATTTCTAGACTTAGGTACGCTCTTTGCCTTCTACACATGGAGTCTGATATAGATTCCTGACAAACTATTTTTTTCTTTCTCTAGAGGAACCGGATTAGCATCTCCCAGTGGGTTCCAGTATGCAGCCGATTGCTACTTGTGTCTCATACACAGGGACAGTGGGGCAGGGCTCTGTCTGGTACTTCCCAGGTAAGATTTGTTATTCCTTTGCTTGGTATGAAAAAACCTTAGTGTTTATGTGCAAATGTCATGTATTTATAGATTAGCCAACCAAATTGTGTGATGGAAAAACCTCATGAGACCACTTCTGGGTCTCTGTGGTGCCAGCTCAGGACTGATTCCTACTGTATGGTGTCTAGGGCGTTGCTTCTAAATACCCCAGCAGTGGAACTTAGCCTAGGATACCATGCTACAGTCTGATGATTTTTACTGTTGGGAGTGTTTCCAGATATTCATCTCAGAGTTAACTTTTCTTCAGTTTTCTTTTTGTAGCCACTTTGTGCCGCTTTTATTTGGGGTAAGAAATGTTTCTTCATTTTTTTCCTTTTTATGAACATAAAAATCCAAGGAACAATTATTTCAGGCCTTAGTTTACCACTGATCACATGATTCTTTATAAAGTAGTTTACTTTGGACCCTCCTTGAGAGTTTTTTCTCCTGATTTTTGTTAATTGTACAAATAATTTAGTAATAAAGGAAATAAAAATCACCCATGACTTCAAACCTGAAAACATCTGCTGGTTCTTTTCCAGTCCTTAAGTATGTATGTGTGTACTAATTTTTTCCCTCGGTACCTTAACAAATATCCACAGAATTTTATGTTCTGGTGCTTTTTCACTTATTAGAGCAGACATTATTCACGTTGTTAGATAGATCTCATAATTAATTTTTTAAATGGCTACATGTTATTTATTTAACCTTTGTTTATATTAAAATTATCTACAGATTTTTTTGTAGACTTTAATGTGGTTACCATTTTATTGTTATATAGTATTTCTTATTTTTAATTATTTATTAAAGATGAACTTCTAGGAGGGTGTACCCTAGGTCAAAGGGTATAAGCAGTTTTCCTCTCCAAAAAGTTGTTTTAATTTATACTGCCACCAGCAAGTTTATATAACTAGTTTTTCATCATTACCTCCCCTAAATTGGGTGTTTTAAAAAAATTTAAACTAATTGGGTAGAAAATGTTACCTCGTTTTGCTTTGCATTTCTTTATCAGGGTTAAACATTTTTCTGTTTATCAGTTATATTCTGGTTTGTAAAAATTACATATTTACATCATTTCTCTGTTTATCTACTGGGAATTTATTTTCATTACCAATTTATATAAATTCCTTTTATAGCCATTCACTTTCTTTTTCATATTTAATGCAATGAAAAATTATTTTTGATGTATATAATTATATATTATATAATTTAAATAAATAAATAAAATATATTAAAATACTTAAAATATAGAGTAATTCCCTCCAGCTAGTGTATAAGCCTTGCCCTTCTGAGGACATGTCTTATTTTTACCTGTATTTCCTGGGCTTCTCACTAAGTCTGGCACAGAGAAGGCACTAAACGTATGTTGAATGAATGAAAAATATGCTTGTGCAAAAGAGGCATCTACTTTGGGTAGTCATGTAGCTATTTCTTTTCAGAGTTGGGCTAGGTTCTATTTTTATTTCTGTGCACTGGAAAATTTTAGTAGAATTTATCCTATAGTTCTAAATCATTTGTAAATAATGTGTGCAGAGATGGTGGAAGGAGGAACTCATTATATCAATCTCTGAGTTGTGCCTCATTCTTTGAATCAATAAACATTTATTGGGTACCTAATATATACCAGATACTATATTAGGCTCTGGGATGGCATTATAGAGAAGCATCCATGTAAATAACTTAAAATTGTTTATCTCATGCTGACAAGATTATAAATAAACTGGACATTTTGTCATATTGATGTTACCTCACTGGTACATCTTCCCATCTTTGAGTTCTCCTGGTTGGAAAACTCTGCTTCAGAATGACATCCTTAGGTACATATCTGACAGGGAGGCAGATTTGGCTTAGAATGAGGAAGAACTTTGTGTTAACTAGAATTGTGGTGTAATGGGATGTGTTGGCTGTATTTTAATAAAGTAAATTTACTTTTACTGGAAATATTCAAGCAATGATTGGAAGGCTATGTTAGGGGCTTGACATAAAAGTATCCTCCATTGGATGAGTGGTAGTATCAGATGATCTCTAAGGTAATGTCCAATGCTATAATCCTATTATCATTTTCGAAAGACTAGGGACATTGGACTCTAATCTGTCTTTTCTAAGTAACCTCTTGAAGTTCTGTCATACTTTGATGAGTCTACTTAAAAAGTTTTTTTTAGGGCTTCCCTGGTGGCGCAGTGGTTGAGAGTCCGCCTGCCGATGCAGGGGACACGGGTTCGTGCCCCGGTCCAGGAAGATCCCACATTCCGCGGAGCGGCTGGGCCCGTGAGCCATGGCCGCTAAGCCTGCGCGTCCGGAGCCTGTGCTCTGCAACAGGAGAGGCCACAACAGTGAGAGGCCCGCGTACCGCAAAAAAAAAAAAAAAAAAAGTTTTTTTAAATTTTTGAAATAATTTAAACTTACAGAAAAGTTATAAAAATGGTAGTGTTCCCTTATACCCTTCATCTAGCTTCCTCTAATGTTAGCATCTTATAGCAATTATTGAAACCAGGAAGTGAACATTGATGTGATACTATTAACTAATCTATACACCTTATTCCAATTTTACTTTTTTTCCCCATTAATGTCCTTTTTTTGGTCTCTCAATTGGGGTTCATCTAATATTTTCTTAAAATTAGATTGAGGCTATGCATTTTTGGCAAAAGTGATATTGTTTCCTTCTCAGTGGGTCACATCAGGGGATACATGATGCCAGTTATTACTGGTGATGTTAACTTTGATGACTTGGTTATTAAATTGGTGTCTGTCAGCTTCCTCTACTATAAAGTACTATTTTCCCCTTTGTAATTAGTAGGTGTCTTGTGAGAAGATACTTTGAGATTATGCAAATATCCTGTTTCTCATCATACTTTCTTTTTTTGAAGTTTTAAAAATAATTTTTATTGAAATATAGTTGATTTACAATGTTGTGGGGTTTTTTTTGGTTTTTTTGGCTGCATTGGGTCTTTGTGGTGCACGGGCTTCTCATTTTGGTGGCTTCTCTTGTTGTGGCTCGCAGGCTCTAGAGCCCAGGCTCAGTAGTTGCAGCTCACAGGCTTAGTTGCTCCGCAGCATGTGGGATCTTCCCGGACCAGGGATCGAACCCGTGTCCCCTGCATTGGCAGGCGGATTCTTAACCACTGTGCCACTAGGGAAGCCCCAGGAGGTGGAGTTTTGATAAAAACGTTTATTTCAACTATTTTGTTCCTTTTTTTTGCATAAATATAAAAATGTTCCAAAACTTCCAAGATCTTAGAAGATAGTGACTGAAAGGATCAATCAGTGATGTTCATCTTAAAGGACTAAGAAAAGGCCCCGAAACTACAAAAGATGAAGCAGCCTAAGCTGAATAATTTATTACAACAACTTGTAAATGTTTGTGTAAAATGTCTTATAAGGGTTTATTGTTGGGTCTGTGGGCACCCAGGGATGAGGGGTGGGAGCAGGATTTCTTTCTTTTTTAAGGCTGTATAATATTCCATTTTATCTATCTATCTATCTATATCTGTATCTATATATCTATGCCACAGTTTCTTTATCCAGTCTTCTGTCAGTGGGCATTTGGGTTACTGCCATATCTTGGCTATTGTGAATAATGCTGCAGTGAACATAAGTGTGCAAGCATCTCTCCAAGATCCTGCTTTGAATTTTTTTGGATATACACCCAGAAGTGGGATTGTGGTATCATGTGGTAATTCTATTTATGGTTCTTGACTGCGACAGTCATTACTCTGGTGTTTGCTTGATGGTCATTTTTGAATTCCATCATTTCCTACTACATTTCTTGATTGGAATTCTACTGTAAGGAAGAGCTGTCACTTTCTCTCCATTTATTTATTTATTCGATTGTTTTGTTTGTATCAGTATGAGCTAATGGATATTTATTCTTTGAGTTATAATACATTATTCTCATTATTTTGTTGATCAAATTGTTCCATGTTTGGCTGTTGAGAACTCCTTCAAGTTTCTTTCTACGTGCCTTCATTTTTTGAACACTTCCTTTTTCTTGGCACCACAAGATGTTTCAGGTTCATGTTGTATTTTCTTTGCTCTAGCCCTAGAGTTAACAGTTTCCCCCCGGGAGCCCTGGTTCCTTTTATTGGAGAATGATATTTGGAATATTTAGAAATTAAGATCTGGGTGCTAAGTGTACATGAGCCAGTGTTGTTGAACTCTACGCAGGTTTTTGAAATCAGTTAGATATAGGGCAAAGAAGATAGCTCCGAATACATGTTTTACCCCTTAATGAACTTTACTTCTTTGAGCCTTAGTGTTCTTATTTCTAAAATGGGAAAAAATAGTATCAACTTTTCAAGGTTGTTGTGAGATAACATAAGTAAAACAGCAAGCGTACAGGTGCTGGGCATATGGGAGATCTTCAGTAACTTGTAACTGCTATTTTTGTTGCTATTTATGTTCATGCTGCTTGGGTAAATGTTCTCCTCACCTTGTAAATTGAAACTTAAAAAAAAATTTTTTTTTTTAATCCTAAAACTACCTTAAGCAAGTTGCACCCTCTCCCTGTGTCTTAGTTTCCTCATCTGTGAAAGGAAAAGGTTGGACTTAGAAGATCTCTGAGATTCCTTCCAGAAGATCTCTGAGATTCCTTCCAGCTCAAGTGTTGTTATTCTAAGTTACTCCTTAGTTCTTCAGTTGCTTTTTCTCCAAGCTAAACAGCTTCAATTTATTTTAACCTTTCCACTAGGACCTTTTATTCATCTCTTTGATCATTCCTGTGGTTCTTTTCTGGACCTTCTCCAGATTGTCCTTCTATTTGGAAAAAAAAAAACCCACCTAGTTTTTATTGAGTGCCTACTCCATGCCCAGAATGGTGTTGAGCAATGGGACAGAAAATAAAAGAAGTATAAGATAGACTGTCTTCTGGTGGAGCTTATAGCTTTGCTGAAAGGACCAGATACATATAGTGTTGAAGAATTGCTTGAGTCCTGCCCTCCTTTTTCCTTTCCTTTCCTTTCTCTTTTCCTTTCCCTTTTTCTTTCTTTCTTTTTTCTTTCCCTTTCTTTCTTTCTTCCTTTCTTTTCTTTCTTTCTTTCTTTCTTTTTCTTTTCTTTTCTTTCCTTCCTTCCTTTCTTCTTTCCTTCCTTCCTTCCTTCCTTCTCTCTCTCTTTCTTTCTCTCTCTCTCTCTCTCTCTTTCTGTCTCTTTCCCTCTCTCTCTCCCCCCCTCTCCCTCTCTCTATCGGGGAGGTCTTTTCATTTTTAGAACCTTTCAGGAAGCAAAAAATGAAAGCAAACTCTTAATATGTCTTTTTTTTAAAAAAATAAATTTATTTATTTTCGGCTGTGTTGGGTCTTCATTGCTGCACACGGGCTTTTCTCTGGTTGTGGCGAGTGGGGGCTACTCTTTGTTGCGGCACGCGGGCTTCTCATTGCAGTGGCTTCTCGTTGCGGAGCATGGGCTCTAGGAGCACAGGCTTCAGTAGTTATGGCATGTGGGCTCAGTGGTTGTGGCTTGTGGACTCTAGAGTGCAGGCTCACTAGTTGTGGCACACGGACTTAGTTGCTCCGTGGCATTCAGGATCTTCCCGGACCGAGGCTTGAACCCATGTCACCTGCATTGACAGGCGGATTCTTAACCACTGCACCACCAGGGAAGCCCAAGGGAACCTTCTTGTACTGTTGGTGGGAATGTAAATTGATACAGCCACTATGGAGAACAGTATGGAGGTTCCTTAAAAAACTAAAAATAGAACTACTGTGTGACCCAGCAATCCCACTACTGGGCATATACCCAGAGAAAACCATAATTCAAAAAGACACATGTACCCCAATGTTCATTGCAGCACTATTTACAATAGCCAAGATATGGAAGCAACCTAAATGTCCATCAACAGAGGAATGCATAAAGAAGATGTGGTATATATATACAATGGCATATTAGCCATAAAAAGGAACAAATTTGGGTCATTTGTAGAGACGTGGGTGAACCTAGAGACTGTCATACAGACTGAAGTAAGAAAGAGAAAAGCAAACATCATATATTAACGCATGTATGTGGAATCTAGAAAAATGGTGTAGATGATCTTATTTGCAAAACAAATAGAGACACAGACGTAGAGAACAAACGTATGGACACCAAGGGGGAAGGGGGGTGGGGTGAATTGGGAGATTGGGACTGACATATATACACTATTGATACTATGTATAAAATAGATAACTAATGAGAACCTACTGTGTAGCTGAGGGAACACTACTTAGTGCGCTGTGGTGACCTAAATGGGAAGGAAATCCCAAAATGAGGGGATATATGTACATGTATAGCTGATTCACTTTGCCATATAGTAGAAAGTTGGTGTCCATACGTTTGTTCTCTACGTCTGTCTCTATTTCTGTTTTGCAGATAAGATCATCTATACCAGTTTTCTAGATTCCACATATATGCATTAATATATGATATTTGTTTTTCTCTTTATGACCTGCTTCACTCTATATGACATTTATTTATTGATGGATATTTAGATTGCTTCCAGTTGGGCTTTTATTGATAGTGCTTTTATGAACATTCTTGTACATGTTTTTTTGTGAATATATGTACACATTTCTGTTGGGATATACACTTAGGAATGAAATTGTTGAATCTTACAGAATGTATACATTCAGCTTCATAGATACTGCCAAATAATTTTCCAAAGTGATTGTACCATTTTACACTACCATCGGCAGAGTATGAGAGTTCTAGTTGCTCTGTATCCTTTCTAGCACTTTGTGTGTGTGTGTGTGCGTGTGTGTGTGTTTGGTGGGTGGTCTTTAAACATTTTTAAATGTGATATTCGGTTCTCTTTCTTGTGTAGTGAGTTTTCTTTCTCTTCTCCACAACATTATGAGCTCCATAGGATAGTAATTGTTTTATCTTAAAAACTGGCACAAGGGCTGGCATATTGTGGGTATTTAATAAAGGTTTGATAAATGAAACATGTATGCATGGCATGTGTGTGGATAAGAACAAGAAGGATATAATAAGAAATAACCATACAGGTGGTTGGGTTTGTTCATTCAACAAATGTTTGAGGGTTTCCTGTGTATAATACACTGTACTTGATTCTGGTACTACACCTAGCTCCTACCCTCATGGATATTTTTGGTGGTGGTGATAGAAAATAAGAGTGTATAATAAATATATAATTGTACATTGTAATGAGTACTATGAGTAAAGTGAACAGGGTACTGCTATGATAGAGAATAATGGGATGATAAGAAACTATTTTAGATAAAGTGGTCAGAAAAGGCCTCTTTGAAAAAGTGACATTTGAGTATTTTGGGGTATTTTTTCTCTTTCACAGAAAGTTACTTGATATCTTTTTGGTTTAAACAGAGGAAAAATTAATGTTTTTAAAGGTCAAGGGAATCTTTTCGGGGGGCAAGGGCAAGAATGGGTAATACAAAAAAGTAAGGAGCTATAGGGGAAGAAAAAGATCATGACATACACCTTGCCCCAAAGCACAGCTTGTTGAAACTGCTGTTAGTTGTGTTCTTTGAGCCTGTTTAAGTGCTTCATGTTCTAGTGGACCATTACACTGATATATGTGATGTAATGGGAGGTGTTCTGTGTTTAGTCTCTGTGTTACAAAGCCTGCTTGATACCTGTGAATTAAAGCATAAGTGTTCTTGGGACTGACCAGAAGAATCCTGACTAATCTTTTAATATCCTTGTTTGGAAAGAAAAGTAAATAGTAACTCTCCACATTTAGAAATTCTATTTTTTTCCTTCATTAGGATTAAAGAAAAAATCATTTTCATTTCATGCGTCCCATCTCTTGGAATAAGCCAGAATTGAACCCTCCTGCTGCTCCTTTCCCACCCCTTTATATTGTAAAGGAAATAAAACATTACTGAGAGTTTGGAAACTAGATTCTTAAACTCTTCCGTAATTCTACCAGCATAGCAAAATAACTCTTTCATTTCTGTGTGTTCCTTTTTAGACTTGCCCCTATGCATTCATGTGTTTACCTATAATTTTATACATATTATAAGTGTTTTCATGTTGCTAAAAATAATAATCTCTAATGTAAACTGTGGACTTTAGGTGATAATGTGTCAGTGTAGGTTCATCCATTGTAACAAATGTACCACTCTGTTGGGGGATGTTGATAGTGGAGGATGTTGTGGCTGTGTGGGAGGGGGTATATGGGGGCAGTCTGTACTTTCTGCTCATTTTTGGTGTGAACCTAAAACTGCTTTTAAAAATAAAGCCTATTAAGAATCTGATTATTTGATTTCCCATTGGGTGACTGTACCTTAATTTAATTAACCACCTCCTTTCTTATTGGACTTATTCCCCAGTTTTCACTCTTGTGAACAATGCTACAATGAGGATCTCTTGCATATTGTTTTTTTCCTTAGGAATTTATTTTCAAAACTATGTTTACTCGTCTTGATTATAATAATACCAACCTGGTAGGATTGTGGTGAGGATTACATAAGGTAATATATGTGAGGCAAATACATAGTGCCTGGCATATAATTTTAACTAATGTCTATTATATTGCCAAAGTGCTTTCAAATGCAGTATGAACATTGGAGGAAGACAGTTCTGATCTGAATGACAATGATGTTGATAACGATGGTGATGATGAAGACTTTTACTGTTTATTGAGTACCTATTTTGTGAAAGGTACTTTACGTTCTTTTACTTATTCAGATATTCAGCAGATGTTTATTGAGCATGTAGTAGGCAACATTAGGAATTGAGTTAAACAAGGCTAGAAAGATTCTGTATTTTTTACTTTGAAGCAACTCTGATCACATTAACCCTCTAAGTGAATGCTCAGTGTTGCTTACCTCTGTTTTTTTTTTTTTAAATCCCCCAGTGGCCCCAGATGAGCCAGGCCCTAGCATGTGGTGGATCAGTAGTAGACATTCAGCTAAGTAGGAAGTATCATACCACAAATAAGGTGAGACTTACAAGTTCTTTCTACGTCTATAGCGTGCTTTCACACAAGTGTTCTTACTTGAAATTCAGCAAAATTGTTAGCTGGATGAGGCAAGAAATTTTATCAAATGCAGAAGGTGAGGCTCAGGGAAGTAAAGTGACTTGCCCGAGGTCACAAGGATGGGAAGAGACAGACCAACTGAATATTGGAACCTAAGGTGTCTGATCCCGTGTCCTATATTTCTTCCATTGTACTCTCTTGCTTAGAAAACACTTTAGAGAAAAAGTGTCGTAGATTTTTTTATATGTTAAAAATAAAGTAATATTTAACTGATGGAGAATTTCTTATTGGATGTATAGCCTGCCTTCATTTAGAGAGGATTAGTATTAGAATAGGTTTTCCTTTGAATTTATTTGCAAACTACAAAACTTATATCTCCTATAGTCATTAATAAAAAATAAAAGTTTAAAAACATTTATTCAGTGCATGCTTCGATTGATTATGACTTTGAATGACTTTTGACTGCTTTCAGACAGTAATTTTCTTTCCTTTTCCCATAATGTCAATAAACATAGAACATGTTTCTCAGAATTGTTCTTTGGGAGGTGGGGGTCAAGATTTCTTTTTTAAAGTACTCTTTTCCATAGAACTTTTATTCTGATACCCCAAATCTATCATTTCCTAGACATGGGTTCATAGACATATGGTCAGTGAGGTGGGTATGTCTGCTCTGGAATTTAGAGGACACCTATTAGGGTTCCAGATATGTTTGTACTGAGTGATAAGGTACCCAGAAAAATGAGAATGAAAAATTCTAGGTAAAAAAAAAAAAAAAATCTAAGCAATAAAAAATGCCCTTAGACCCTAGTGAGAAATAAAAGCATTCTTTTAAAAAAACTTTTTTGCAACTAATTTTGGTTTCCTTCTTTTTGAATAAATAGCTTTCTTCTACCAAGGATTCCCCACAGCCTGTTGAGAAGGTTGGTGCCTTCACAAAGATAATAGAAGCCATGGGATTCACAGGACCTTTGAAATACAGTAAATGGGTAAAGTCTTTTAAGTTGTTTTCATTTTTCTTCTTGAGCTTTGTGCTTTCTGCTCTTCACAGAAGAATTTTTTAAAACTTCTGCTTTGCTTTTTGTGAAATGCTTATATTATTTTGAGAGCTTCAAAATATGTTGTTGTCCCCTTGCCCCCCGTTCCAAGTCAGGTCTATACAGCATGTGGGGCTGAAATAGTCCCTCTACTCCCTTAACCTGATTCCTTAGAAGTATCTCAGTAGCAGGCAATCCAATAACACTGGTCTTTCCAGGTCTTTGCTACATGTTATGCCATATAGATGAGTTCTCAGAAGTTAGATGGGCCAAATGTTTTGATGGGCACTGCTCTTAAGGAAACACTCTCTGTGATTCATAAGTGATTTTCCCTAGGTCATTGTAATGACTTCCTTTAAAATTTTACTAATAAGCATTTTTAAAATTAATCAATTCTATGATTTATTGTAATTCATATTATGAGGGCTGTTTGCTAACTGTGTCATTCCTAATCAGGTCTTGGCCTAGCATGTTATCTGTTTTATGGTACTTGCTATAAATGCATGAATGTCTCTCTACATCAGGTGCTACTGCCCCTGGACTTTTATAGCAATGCCTCTAACCAATTAAAATAATAAAACACAAGTCATTGGGTTTTTCTCAGCCCAGTTATCTCCTAGTACTACTGTTTCTCTCTACAGTTATGGCAAAAGTACCTTTTAATACTTTTCAAGGTTGGTAGAATGTTGGATAAGCCTAATCAGTCATAAGTTATATATTAAAGCAAACCAACACAAAGCAGTAGGGAAGACTTTTCTAGAAAACATCATAACTTTGCCCAAAATGACTAAATTATTCCAGTTACACCATTTTAACAAGTTGGAGTAAAATTAGAATTTCAATTTTGTTGTGAACTTTACTTTTAGTTTCTTCTTATAATATCTGGCTCTCTTCCTAACAATTCTCACTGTAGCAAATATAGGCTTCTCTCTATAATCTCCATTTTACATAAATTGAACAGTGATTCCACAAGCATTTTGTTTGTAAGGGGCTTTGAAAAGTATAGAAGATAGCACACACATAACTAGGTTATAATGATGTCCTTGAGACCCTAAGGTTATGAAGTGTCTTCTTAATCATTAATGAAGTATTAGTTATGCTCATTAAAGTTATCTTTTTTTACATCATAATTCTTGACAAATGATAATCACTGGTATATTTGGTAATATTATTAACCAGGATCTTTTCCTTTATTAAAAAAATATTTGCGATAATACATTTGGATTGAAAAACTTAAAATGTGTGTTTTGTTTGAAAGTAAGAAATTAAAAGAAAAGGGAAATGAGAGCAGAAAGAAAGAAAGAAAAGAGAAAAAATTTACTGTTTTATTCATTTCTTGATGGTTGAGTTCCACTTGGTTGCTTCCGTATGCTTTGTCTCGTCCGTATTTTTATGATTCCAGGGGCAAAGTTGGCTACCATTTGGAGGATTACTAACTCATCAGGAAAATTTCTTCACTGTTTAAGTTAGTCTCTGATTTTTCTTGGTTCCCTTGTGACCTCAACTAAGTCCCTAATATTTGCATTTAAAAACTCTTTTGTGATGTGGCAGTGTCTACTTCCTGTAACCTTCGTTTTTTAAATTTGTAACATCAAAACATCAAAGTATGACATTCTAGTATATTTTGGGTGGGAAGATGTAGGTATAATTTTCCATATTGAAGGATTGAGAGCCCTTTGCAGCAAATGTTGACTCAGAAATCTGTGGCAGACACGTGTATTGGGTTGCACTGGCAAGAATCTTTGAATTTTGTGTTTTCTCATGTCTTTCATTAGGGAGTAAAATGTCTGCTTGTCTCTGCATCAGCAGTATCAGCCAGCTTTCCTCCATCTTTTTATGTAATGTTTTCATGTGTAGTTCCATTTTTCTTCTAGATCCATATTTAGGAATTTAAATGTGGCTTTTCCTTACCTATTTGATTATCCTGAAATAACCATTCTTTTTATTATCTTTATGGAGCAATATCAGATAAGATAAGGATAACATTTAACAGATTGAGCCACATGTCATTGAATAGGCGGTTTTCAGATTAGCATTAAGCCAAAAAGTTATTCCTGTTCTGAAGGACACTGACAAACTGGAATGCATTCAGAAGTGGGCAGTGAGCCTTGTGAAGGCTTCAGAAACTGTTGAATGCAGAGTGGTTGAAGGAAATAGGGATACTTTGCCTGGAAAAGAGAAGACATAATGGTTCTTCTCAGGTGTTTGAGGGGCAAATGTAAAAAAAATGGAGACTTAATCTGAGGTATTCCAGTGTGCAGATAATGTTTACTGAATGTTACATGAAGCAGATTTATGTTCAATATAACAAAACTTTAGCAAGAGTTGTCCTCCAGGGGGATAGGTAGCCTCACAAGGTCATTGGACTTGTTTGAACAGGGGCCCAGATAGTTGACCATGAATCAAGAATGCTGTAGAAGGAATTCCAGTACAGAATAGAAAGTTCAAATGACTTCAAAGCCCCTTCCAACTCTCACACAGTTGTTTTAGTGTAAGCCTTTTACTAGATTCGTTTTTTTATCTTGTAGGATGGTACAAAATGCATCAGTTAGTGGGAGAGCTGATTTTCATTTCCTAAACCTGTCTTAGGTGCTTGTGTTTTAGTCAAGTAGACTGATGAAGTCTTCCAAAGTTAGAATGAAGTCATCTGAGGACCAGAACAATTTGTATTGACTGGATGGAAATTTAGTCCACCTACTTCTTTAACTTATATTAATGCATGAATCTTGAAGAGGTTCTTTCCCCGAGTTGTTATTTCCAGTCCCTGTGTGATGGTCTTAAGGGACTTGCTTTAGAGATTTGTCCAGGAAAATGGCTCACCCAAGTATAAAGGTTTGGCCTCGCTGCAGGAAAAGTGAGGAACTGTAAAGTGCTCCTGATTGCTGCAGTATGAGCACTGTATACATACACTGGCCAATCTGGTGAGGTCTTCATTATTTGTAATGAATGCTTGCTTCATGAACATGCTGTGGGGAAAAACCTCTTTCTCATGGAACGATTTGGGCCTTGGAGGCAAGTGTGCTTTTCCTTAGGCAGAGTGATTAATTATGAACCAGAATCAGAAGGAAACTGCCGAGTTAAAAAAAAAAATCAAGACACAGGCCATTAGGAATTTTACTTAAAATTATAAATGTATTGATAGTTGAACTAGGCCTTAAGTTCCATGAAAAGAGTTTTTAACTGCTTTGTTTACTGCTGTATTCCTAGTGTCCAAATCAGTTTTAGGCACTGAGTTCGGTGCTCAATAAATTATTTGTTGACTGGAACAAAAGCTTATAGATGTCCTAAACTCTCTGTTTCAAGGATAGGAATAGGCCTGTCAAGGCCAAAGCATTAGGATAACGATATCATTAGGATATCATTAGTTTGGTGATGGTACAAACCAGTGCTTCCCAAAATGTGTTCTATGTCACATACTTCCCAGAACCTCAGGTGTTAAAAAGTTAAACATGCTTCTTTTTTAGACTGCTGATACGGTGAATTACACTTATTGATTTGTGAATGTTGAATCAACTTGGCATTCCTGGGATAAATCCCAGTTGATCATGATATGATCTCCTTTTAAAATATTGATGTTAGTATTTTGTTAAGGAGTTTTGGATCTATGCTTATGAAGGCTATGGTTTTGTAGTTTTGTTTTCTTCTGATGACTGGTTTTGACACCAGGGTAATGTTGGCTCATAGAATGAGCTGGGAAGTGTTCTTTCCTCTTTTTTTCTGGAAGAGTTTGTGTAGATTTGGTATCATTTCTTTAGATAGTCAATAGAATTCTCTAGTGATGCCATCAAGCCTGGAGTTTTCTTTGGGGAAAGGTTTTTAGCCACAAATCCAATTTCTAAAATAGAGATAGGGCTATTCATGTTATTTATTTATTCTAGTGAGCTTTGGTAGTTTGTATCTTTCAATGAATTTGTCCATTTCATCTGAGTAGTCACATTTATTGGCCTAAAGTTGTTCAAAATATTCCCTTATTATCCTATTAATATCTTTAGGATATGTAGTGATGTTCCTCTCCTCTCTGATTCCTGATGTTGGTAATTTGTATCTTCTCTGTTTTTCCTTTTTTTCCCCCCTAGATCAGTTCTACTAAATTTTTGTCAATTTTATTGATATTTCCAGAGAACCAACTTTGGCCTCTTTTGATTTTCTGTGTTATTTTTCTGTCTTCAATTTCACTGATTTCTGCTCTTATCTTTATATATCATTCTTTCTGCTTGCTTTTAGGTTTAATTTGCTTTCTTTTTTAGTGTCTCACCATTTGTTTAAATGTGGACTTCCAATGCTGATTTACTGCTCATATAAGTATATCTGATTTCCATTTGTTATATGTTCTGTTCTGTTTTCCCCCATATGAACTTTAGACTAAAATCATTGGAAACTTAACATTAGCAAATGAAAAAATCTTAATTGCAATCAAAGACATAATACTTTAATTTATTATAGGTATTTCTGCCCATCAGAAACTGAAATATGAATATCATATAGTATTGGATATAGTATATCCTTGGTGACTTTGAACCTTAATAACCAAACAGCTCTGCTAAAATTCTAGGTTGGTTTTTCTTCAGTTGCTATGCCATTCTCTTTGCATATACATATTTTTTAGTCTGTGTGTATTTGAGTAATTTTCTCTGTCATTTTAAGGAAAAATAAGCTTCTACGAGCCTTTTGTTGATGGACTAATTTAATTGTATCCTGAAGGAAATATTTTGAAAGCCCTTAGAAATTCTTCTTTTAGCACTGAGTTGGTCTTCAGACCTACAGTTCAACCCTCACAAGAATTTATTTTTCATTTTTAGGTTTTTGTGAAGGCATAATGTACATACAGTAAAATATACAAATCTTAAGTATACAGCTCAGTGAATAAATTAAAACCACCACCCAGATCAAGATTCTAAGAGAATTCTTAGTGCTTTGGGGAATAGTAAAAGGTTGATCCTTTTACTATATTTTACATTCATTAGAAACTCTTATTTATAAACATAGTATTCTGTTAATCAGCAAACTATAAAACTAGGGAAAACATTAAAAAAAGTGACCCCCTCCCTTCAGGGAAAAAAAAGACAGAATAGTTAATAGGGCTTCTGAGGAAAGATCAAAGGATGGAGGGTTTTGTTTGTTTGATTTTGGTCAGGAGAATGGGTAATTTTTTTAATATAAAGGGTTTCAGATTATAAAGAATTAATGTGGATGGTTCTGAATGGTGGTTTAGAGGCTGAAACGTGGTGAAATGGGTTTGAATTAAAGGAGAGAGTTCGTCTAATATTGGAAAAACCTTTTTGACATTTTGATGCCAAAATCGTAAAATTGTGTGAAGTCTGTGAATGGCTAGAGACAGGTTTGGACCCATCCTTCTAGTTGAAAAGCATATAAGATTCTGTGACCTACATCTAATGGCACTAGAACATTCACTTGGTCATGTCTTGAGTTTGGTTTTATTTTCTTTGTCTAGAAGATTAAGATTGCGGCCCTGCGCATGTATACTAGCTGTGTGGAGAAAACTGACTTCGAGGAATTCTTTCGAAGTAAGTTACTGTTTTTGATAGTTGTGAAAAGGAAAATAAATCTACTTTTCATTTTTATGATTGTGTCTTGGTAGGATCGGTTTTTTTTTTAAGTTACTAGTAAAACAGTTTTTCCTGAACAAAATGTATAATAAAAGCTGCTTATTTTTCTCTTTTAATAGAATAAACAAAGGCCAAAAGAGCCCTATAAATAAGACATTTTAACAAGTTTGAAAAAAGACCTAAAAATTTGTCCAGTACTTTGACATCATCATTCCCCCTTGTCCACACACGCATCTTTTTACGTAAGAGTGTACTCAGCGTAAACACATCCTGTTTTACGTTCTGGATGTTTTACTCAGTATTTTTGACATGAACTTCTGCCCAATCATTCCTCTTTTATTTCTAGTTTATAATTGTTTTAGTTAACCCTGGAATATGCCTCATGATTTTTCTTCTTTCTGTAGAACGACTGTTGAGTCAAAAGGCACATATAATTTTATTTTTATCCCATTGATAAATTGCTTTCCAAAAGTGTTTTACTGGTTTATATCATCATCACTAGCAGTTGATTATATCAATACAGTATTCATTTTGTTAATGTAAACTGTTGTAGTTATAAACATGTCATTTAAAGCAGATACTTATAAAGTCATTGGGAAAGTTTAAGCTGTTTCCAGTTCCACAGATTTTGGAAGGAAATGTGTTCTGTGCACATCTGTGGTAACAGTCATTATCCTCAAAGCAACAAACACTTAACTAAATATACTTGATATTTTTCATGGACAGCCAATAATTATATATAATTACGTTAACAACAATGAAGAAAGAGATGAAGTTTTGATTATTTAATAACTTTTGTTTTTTTTAAATTAAATGCAAGTTTTGTCATTTTTACTATTTCAGCAGATTGGTACAATATTTCATTGGAAACTTAAAATACTGTGCTGAGTTGTAATCCTAATTTAGTATCCACCTTCCATTTCTTATTTACTCATAGTCAGGAAAGAAAACTTTCCTCCTTCTTTTTTAATCTCTAACAATTTCTTACTTTAGGAGAAATTAGTCTGAAAGGAGAAAATAATCTTTCTCTACCTGATGAAGAGACTACTAATATTAGAAGCTGAATTTTTCTTAAGTGGTTTCTTGAATCCATGTGCTCAAGTATTTTTCATCACATCTTTTTAAAACCTCATCCTACACATCTATTTAATATTAAATAACTCATAAACTTTTTATAATTATTTTGAAAGGATGTTTACTAGCTATCTTTGTTTAGCTAATCCTCATTATTGAAGATTCTTGAATAATGAGACTATTATTACATATTTAAATTAATATATCATGCTTCAATTTATAATCTGTTGTAAACTACTTATAAAAATAAAAGTTTATTAAAATTATTAACTATTATATTTTAATAATTCACACTTACATGGTATGCTTTTACTTTTGTCTCATTTAGGAATTACAAAACATGTGAGACCGGAAGGGCTTGTATTCTTATTTTCATTTTTCTTTTGTTTTCATAAACAATTGAAACTTATAAAAAGGCTAAGTGATTTGCCCAAGGTTGCTTAGTCAAGCCTTGATCCTGTGTCATCTGTCTTAAAATCCAGGAATTTTTCTACTATAACATATTGCCTGTGAATGAAAATAACTGCAAAATAGAAATTGTAATCCATTTTAATATTTTTGTGTTTTATAATTTTTTGTATTTTACAGTTTTTTTTTTACTTTAAAAAATTTTTATTTATTATTATTTTTGGCTGCGTTGGGTCTTCGTTGCTGCACACGGGCTTTCTCTAGCTGCGGCGAGTGGGGGCTACTCTTCGTTGCGGCGCGCAGCCTTCTCATTGTGGTGGCTTCTCTTGTTGTGGAGCACGGGCTCTAGGCGCGCGGGCTTCAGTAGTTGTGGCACGCAGGCTCAGTAGTTGTGGCACGCGAGCTCTAGAGCACAGGCTCAGTAGTTACGGTGCACGGGCTTAGTTGCTCCGTGGCATGTGGGATCTTCCTGGACCAGGGCTCGAACCTGTGTCCCCTGCATTGGCAGGCGGATTCTTAACCACTGCACCACCAGGGAAGCCCTATTTTATAGTTTTTAAATGAGACCTACCTCTGTGAGATGTTCTGTTAGTATTGTGAGCTGATGTTTATGTATATTAGAGTGTGTACATCTCAGTGAGCTTTGTCCTAGCCTTGCCCTTTGAAGTAGTTATTTGATGTCACATTTTTCAGTGACACCACTCTTACTTCAGGTTTTCTAAGACTCACTTTGAGAATTACCTTTTAGACCTATATCATGTTCCTTTGTATTATGCTCCATTGTGGTCCATCTTTGTCATTTGTGGTTAGATTAAATTTCAGAATCAAACCAAAGTGGTTCCAAACTGTGGCCAGTGAATAAAAAAGGGAGCAAGTCTGAAAAGTACCATTTAGAGGCAGATAAAGAATATCTGTAAAATAATGAGACTGACTTTCTTGCACCTTGGATTCTAAAGAGTAGGCCGGACAGGTTTGGGGTAAAAGAAGAGAATGTGTATAGATATATTGCTTTCTAAGATTACATCTTTAAAGTGGCTATTGCTCCCTTGGATTTTTGGTCTTTTAGGGCTTGACTTTTAGAGTCCTGAGAATTCAGTAGCTTTTTAAAAGGATAGAGAGTCCCAGGTAGCTGGTCAGTGTCATTCTCACTCTTCCAACAAAAGTGAGACCAGTTATATTTCATGAAGACTGAGTTTCTTTACTCAGTAAACAATATGCCTATCAGCCTCTTGGACAGGCCCTCACAAAATGCCAAAGTTATAATACTCTGTCATCTCAGAGCCAAAGTGTTCAGACGTCTTGATCCAGAGACCTAGATATTGGGGATTCTGACTGGTGAGATACCTTAAGAGCCAACTCTTGTTTCCAAGATGTTCTGATGATGTCATTGTGTCATAAATGAGTGTACCCTCTGTGAGCACACAGTGTTTGCTAACTGGTCTTTTGGAGATCATTTCTGTTATAAAGAGCACTTAGGGGCAGAGGCGTCCAGCCAATCAGTAAAGCTTTTGTTTAATACCACACTGTTGTCTGCAGACTGCTTTGTTTTTAGCCCTTAAGAGTTCATACTTTGGAGAGGAGGCTCCTTAGTGAATAAATTTTGGGTTAATAAAATTGAGGTTCTACCTTTCTTTCTGCTACTAATACTCAGGTATCAAATATATCAATTTTGTGTAAGTATATGATAAATATATTTTTTAAAACTTGAAGAAAAAAAAGATTGAGGTTCATCATTTTATTGATGCAGTCTTAAATAGTGAGTTTTTTCAAAGATAATTTAAACCATAGTGTTTAAACAATTAACTAAAAATCAACAGTGAATATTTATTGAGTACCTATTAAATACTAACTACTTTGTTAAATGTTCTACAGGCCTTATCTCATTTAATCCTCACAAGAATCCTGTAAGGTAGGTTCTCTTGTTTTCCCATTTTTACAGAGAAGAAAACTGAGGCACTGAGAGGTAAAGTAACTTTACCCAGAGTCATATACCAAGTAAGAGGTAGAGTTAAAGTTTTTTTTTTGTTTGTTTGTTTTTGCGGTACGCAGGCCTCTCACTGTTGTGGCCTCTCCTGTTGCGGAGCACAGGCTCCGGATGCGCAGGCTCAGCGGCCATGGCTCACGTGCCCAGCTGCTCCGCGGCATGTGGGATTTTCCCAGACCGGGGCACGAACCCGTGTCCCCTGCATCGGCAGGCGGATTCCCAAACACTGCGCCACCAGGGAAGCCCTAGAGTTAAGGTTTTGAATCAGGATATCTGACCCTGGTGTCTGCGTTAAACAAACAACTATGTTAATACTGCTGCCCCATAATAGTAATGAATTATTTAATTTTATCCAACTTGATGTTGAGGAGGAAAGTACCTAGCTTCAGAAAATAGTGCACTGACTGTGTACTGGAGCAAGAGTGTGATCATGGCAAGACCCTATAGCAGGTTTTAACTTTGAAGTGTTTAAAGACATTTCATGAAGCTAAAGAGTCTGCTGTGTTGTTGAGTTGCTCACAGTCAAACTTTCAGCGGTCTTGTTTTTTAGGGCTTTACCCCGTGGGTTTCTGTTCTGACCCCAGTGGGTACAGGGAGTCAGTCATATGCCAGCTTTTTTCCCATCCTCAGCCCTGAGCTGACCCCCAGAGGGAAAATTGTGACCCAAGTCCAGTTGCTGGCCTGTGTGTCTGTCTGTGCTTTCCAGCCGAAGAACTGATTCCCTCTTTGAGAAAATTGGAAAGGCTCCTGGAGGCTGCTGGGAAGCTTTGATGTAGAGGTAGCAACTGAACAGATTGTCCTTTAGAAGCAGCCAAATTTCATTTTCCAGATTGAAAGACAGACTTCCAAGAAAACTTTTCTTTTTAATGTTTTGTTCTAGCATCCAAAAAAGACCCAACTTTAGATCCGGGCTTGAGAGTTTCTCATGGCTATTCTTGTTCTAGGTGGAGGGTGGTTGGCCCACTCTCAGATGGCATGTGTCTTAATAGCTGAATGGCTAGCCAGGCTAGCCTTCACCTCCCTCCTGCTGGGCTCCAAGAGGAAGTCCACTTGACAGCTGCTGGGCACCTCCCAGTAAGCTCACCAGCGTATTTTGGTGTCATTTTGTGACAGACCTGGACTGAAATCCCAGCCCAGCCACTAGCTTGTTAATATTGTGGCTGCCTGCAAGTTACTTAGCCTTTTCGAGCCCTGTTTCTTTATCTCTGGAATGAGGCTTATAATGCCTTCCTTCAGGGTTAAAGTGAGGATTAAGTGAGATAATGTATTGACATGACTAACGGTGGACCTGACAGGAAGTATGGACCCTTAGTGAATGTTAGTTTCTGATACTAGTATTAGAGAGGCAGTTAGCGATTAAGCCAACAGTGTATGGAATCAAGCAGATCTGAATTTGATCCCAGATGTCTCATTTCATAGCTGTGTGACCTTGGGCAATTGTCATGATCTCTCTAAGTCAGTTTTCTCACCTGTCAAATGCGGATAATATCAATACCCACCTCTTAGGAATGTTAGGAGGAGTCATTGAACTAATGCTTGTAAGGTACCTATTATTTCTGACACATAGTAAGCACACAATGAATTACAGCTCTTTATTATTATTGGCATTGTTAGTGTACCTCACAGGGGTCCTGCTTTGTGTTTTCTATCTTAGTGGCCCCTATTTGTTATCATTTAGTACATTGTATACTTCGTTTGCTGAAAGGCAGAAGATACTACTTCCTTCTTGAGTCATTACTCCAAAGGACAGATTCTACTCTAAGGGCCCAAGTTTCCCACTGATTCTCTTATTTATTGATATAAATTTATTTGTTTTTATTTATTTTTGGCTCCGTTGGGTTTTCATTGCTGCACGCGGGCTTTCTCTAGTTGCGGCGAGCGGGGGCTACTCTTCATTGTGGTGCGTGGGCTTCTCATTGCGGTGGCTTCTCTTGTTGTGGAGCACGGGCTCTAGGCTTGCAGGCTTCAGTAGTTGCGGCACGCGGGCTCAGTAGTTGTGGCTCGCGGGCTCTAGAGTGCAGGCTCAGTAGTTGTGGTGCACGGGCTTAGTTGCTCCGTGGCATGTGGGATCTTCCCGGACCAGGGCTCGAACCCATGTCCCCTGCATTGGCAGGCGGATTCCTAACCACTGCACCACCAGGGAAGCCCTCTCTTTTTTCTTTATCCTCTTGCTCCAGCTTTTCTCCCTGCCGTGTAATAAGGAGGGCATATTCTGAGGGGGACCCCTCATCCAGCCAGAGGCATTTCTTAGAGATCTGAGAATTGAGACGCTTGGATGTCTAAGCCCTGAGCTGATTTTTGGTTTCTTAAACCAAGGAGAAACCCTACCAGGTTTGTCATTCCTGGGGATGATGAACAACCTTTCATTAGATATTATCTGCTTTCTTATTCAACTGTAGCTCCCTAGAGTCCTGCTTCTTTCTTCTGATCATTTATTTTGGTTGAATCATTTAGCATACCCACTGGGTCACCTTAGAGAAAGAAAACAGGAGAGGGAGATGGACAAGAAGAACTTAGATTTCTCAGCAGGGCTCAAGTGAAAAAAAGCCTCTAGTTAAGTGGGGTAGGTAAGGTGGTGTCTGCCTAGCTTTCCAGAAGAATTGGAGACCAGGAGGGGAAAATAACATTGAATCAGAGTTGGAAGGAATTATAAAGATCGTCCAGGCCACATTATACAAAGTGAGAAAACTGAGGCTCAGAGAAGAGAAGTGACTTTCCCAAGTCCACACAGCAAGGTGGTAACAGGGCTGTAACTAGAAGCCTGTTTGTCTGACTGCATTCAGTGCTTTATCAACCCATGGGCTTGCCTTGTGGTTCCATTGGCCTCCTCTATGATAGCATAATGAGAGAGCACTGTGATTACCATATATTTTAGTTGAACAAATTCCTACCGATATTTCAAATATAGTCCATATGCCTCTTCTAAACCTTCACATATTTATACTTTATTGTTATTTTCTAGGGTGTCAGATGCCTGATACATTCAATTCATGGTTTCTTATAACTCTTCTTCATGTCTGGTAAGTGAGCAATTTAAGTGAAGTCACCAAATGTTTTTTTTTTTTTTTTTTAAAATACTGCTAACTTGTTAAGGTATAGCCTTCAGCAGGGCTGATTATATGAAATCGCAGTTGTTCAGGCATTAAAAGCTGTTCCTTTCATTTTAATAACTGGTATCTTGTAGCACATTTTTTTATTAAAGGTCAAAGCATAGTCCCAGAAAGAAACTAATATTTGTAGGATTTTCTCAAAGAATACCTAACCCAGTGAACAATGCTATCAGTATCTGTAAGAGACCCTATGAGCTTGGGTGGAAAGTTCTTTCCCTTCGCTGTTTTAGGAAAGTTCACATTTACGTAAAAGTGGTTTGAATTGTGAGCATCCGTGGTCATTTTCATTGCTGGTCATCAGAAACCTATAACAAATTATAGCACTGACATTTACGCCTGTACCTCTAAAATGTGCATACAGGTTAGATTCATGCCAGTTTCGTTGCATGTAAAAATATTTAACACCTTAAACAGTGTATTTTTTCTTCAGCTGCAAATTAAGTAGCCAAAAAAATCAATTTTTCATCTAATGTTACACAGTATTAAAGGTCAGAAGGATATAGGAGAGACGTTGAAGTGGGGGCTGGGGACTATTTATTGAACTGCCAGATCTTGGGAAAGTAAATTCTGGAGAACTAAGTTTACTACTTTGACCGTAGTATCTGAGGAACGTGGGGAATGGTTGCCCTGTCAAAAGGACCCTTGTTTGAGACTGCCTTCAGCTGAGCTTTGCATCACAGGACTGACTACTATATAAAGACTTTTTGGTTTTGATCACCTCTGAAATATTTCTTCTGAACTCACATAGTCAGTGAGATTGGCTAAGGGGCCTAAGGTGGCAGTTCATGTTGTTTTTTCCTAAGCCGGTAGTTTGTTGAGTGTACACTGTGTCCTGGGCAGTTAGTAAGCTATGTCAGGAGGCTCACAGTCTAGTGAGGGAGATAAGACATATATAATAGTCAGTTATAAATTGGACTGGCTAAGTTCTATAATAAATCTGAGTAAGTAGTGCCTGTAGGATCACAGAGGAAGCTGCAACTATCAAAACCCTTGAAATGTGCCATGTCTTTTAGTCAGGCAGCTAAGAAGGCTAACCACCTTCTGTCTGAATGGTGATGGTTAGGAAAAGGTTCAGGGAGGGCAGCTGGATGTACTGAGAGGAAAACTACTTTTTCAAGAGGAGAGGATTGCAGAGGTGGCCCTGTGGAATTACTCACTGGAAAGGTGGGAGGGATGAGAGGAGGCTAGGCTGTTCCCAGAGGAGCTCAAAGATAATATTCAGAGTCAGAATGAAAGACTCTTTATTGCCCAATAGCCAGAGGTATCAGAGTGTTAGAGGGAGTGGATGGCAAAATAAAAAATATAATCCTTGTGACCACATCCCAACGTCAATACCTGACTACTAGCAGCTGGGAGAACCTTGAAACTACTTGTAGTTCTTTCCAGTTAGCCACCATTTCCAAATGTGACTGCTGAGCCTTCCTTGCTGAGGTTGGTTTAATTTCTCAGAGGAGTGGGGAGTACCACTACCAGTTAAGTAGGGGGAGGGAGGCCTGTCTATGCTTGGTGTCCCCTCCATCCTTCCTCCTTGGTTCTCATGATCTGCGGGCTTCGGTGGGATGAATCAGCAAACTCGTATTGTGTTAAGGACTGGGGGGCACTGGAGAGTAGGATATGACGTGGTGTGCACCTTCAAGAAAATTAGTCGAGTGGAAAACAGGCACAGTACAATTGCCTGTAATGGATGACAATGAAAAAAGTGCTGTGCCCAAGGCATAAGCAGATACTATGGAAGGATAAGGAGGTGTGACTAAATCCAAATTTGGTGGATGAGGGAGTATGTATTGTATAAAGAGTTGCTCTGTGGTAGAGGTGACATTTGAGATGTACCATGAAGGGTGAGTAGAATTTCTGTCAGAGAAAAGGGCATTTGAGTTGAGGGAATTATTAGGAGCAAAACATAGAACATGTACAAGAACATGGAGTATTTGAGGGCAGCCAAGTTGTCTGAAGCACTCAGGGCTGGTTTGTGGAGGAATGTAGTGGAAAGGGTCACCAGGAAGTTACTTTAGTGTCCAATTGTGCTATGATCCTCCAAGAAGAATTGGGGAAACTCTCTTCCAGGGGATAGGATTCTTAGAGGGAATAAGGGATCCACCCCGAGTCTGCAGAAAAGCTATGCTCTTCTAAGTCCTGTTTTCCTAGCCCGAAGCTCCAGGAGGGTAACTGAGGGATCACCAAATCCAGTATTACAGGGCTCAGTGGACTTGCTAGGGATGTGCAGGGTTGAAATACCTCCTGTGGGTGGTAGTGTGAGGGAGAGGTGGGGAGGCTTAGAAAGCAGTCATAAAAGTAGAATCCCCACCCCCCACCGTGAAAAAAAAAAACCCCACAAAACTAGAATACCCTGGCAGTGGACTTTACAGAAAGCTTGCTTAGGTTCCCAAGGGTGATGACTCCCTGTTGGCTCTCAGAATAGAGACAGGATTTCTCATATCCTGTTAGTTCCCTGGAAGAGGTGTTGATGTTTCCCTTATCCTGTCTGCTTTCTCTGGTTCCCAAGTTTTTATGTGTATTGGGATTTAGGACTGGGACCCCTCCAGTTCCTAGAAGGCCCTTATCAGCTGTGTATTCTTGTGAGCTTGCAGCTTCGGTGACTATGTGTCCTTTGTCTTTGCTGAACAAGATTAGTATTCACAATGGCTACTGAAAAAATGCTGAGAGAGGTTGCTGTGTGGGGTTTCCAGCATTCCCATGTGGACTTGATAAAAGCCAGCCTCCTCCTTTGTTCCCTGTCTGGGACAGTGGCATTGTGATCCATTCAGGTACCCACACCAGAAACCTGGGAAGCCTCCTTGACTTTTCCCTCACTCCCTTCATCTGGTCAGGCACCAGTTTCACCATCTGAAACTTTTTTGACCATGACCCATAGTAACAAATGCATTTTACCTTGCAATCCACACACACATGCATCTGACACAAAAGTTTTATAAAACTTATCCTTACAATGTCAGATGATCTCTGATATTTTCTACTCCATTTGAATTCATTTAAAACAGAAATTCAAGATGTCACCCGCTAAATTGATTTCACTGGGTTACAAGTAACAGTACCTGAAAACTGGTGTTTGGCCTCCAACTTCCCTCTTCCTGTGCCATTGGTCTTCTCAATACAAATTGGATTAGTATACACACACTCTCTCCTTAATATTCTCCATTGTTCTCAGGATAAAGTATGTTTCCTAGCATGGCATTCATATCCCACCAAATATGCCACCTTTACCACTCTCGTCTGGTGCCGTTCTAGGTACCACTACCACCGTCACTCCCTCCCCTGCAAGAAAAAATTAAACTATGTAATAGCAATTTCAGGTCTTCTGCACAAAGCTTTCTTCTGCCTAGAAAGTCCTTCTCCTTCCTCTCCACCTGACAAACGCCTATTTTTTGTTCAATATCCAACTCAGATATCTCTGCTTTGAAGCCTTCCCTTCCCTCTGAAGGCAGAGTTAGTTCCTCTTCTGAGCTCCTTTAATATTTTGGATACCTCTCTTATAGCACTCGTCACATAACATTTTTATATTTTATCGTATATGTATCAATCTTCCTTGTGGATGGTGAATTTATTGAGGCCAAGAATTATATTTATTTTCCTTTTGGAGAGATATGAAAATGAGGTATTTCTTCAGCTCAATAAATGTCGATTAAATAATTTATGGCCTCAGATCTGACTTGGCTCCTATGGCAGTTGGAAGGTTCGGGGCCACTGCCTGTTAGTGGCAAAAGCTCTGCACCTACTTAAGTTTCCCTGGGGGGTAAGATATATGTAGGTAGAATTTGTGTTGGTGTTCTAAGTATTAATAGATTTGCAGAGACCCTCATTTTAAAATTTGTCATGAACACTAGTACGTTATAGATACAGAAATTAATTTTAGAAAATGGAATGGAACAAATAAAATTAGAATATGCCTATGATGGAGGTAGAGTGGAGAGGAAAATGCAGTTTGTATTTTTAAAAATTATTTAAAGTCAGGTATATCATAAATATAATAACTACTGGGTCCCTTACAGTACTATTTTAAAAATTATTTACTTATATTATCTCACACATTCTTATAACTGCTTTATTCCTGTTTACATGAGAGATCAAAGACTGAGAGCCGTCAGAGAGCTTGGCCACAGATAGTTAGTGCATGGTAGAGAGGAAATTCCAGTATGGGTCTGGCTAACTTCGAGTTGCTTTAGGTTGCTTTCCTCATTGGTAACTAAAACTACTGACGTATCTAATTAAATAATTATTTATTAGCATGAATAATATTTAATATTAGTAATACTATTTATTACTTAGTTAAGTACCTGCTTATTCTTAAACATAAATCCATAAAATTACAGCATTTGTTTTCTAATTGAACCTATGGTATGCAGCAGATTTGTTCCCTGCCCTCATAGGGCTGAGGGTGTGGGAGAAAAACCTGGAAGAAATCGTTAATAAAATACAACTGGGATGGGTGCTGTGAGAGTAAGTGACAGGGCTCTGTGGGGGAAGAGGGATACATAACTTAGTTGAGGGGGTGTGGCTCACTCAGGGAGGGCTTCACTGAAGAGATGACATTTAAACTGACCCCTGAATAATGAGTAGAAGTTAGCAAGTCAAAGAGTGGAAGAAAAAACATTGCAGGCAGTGGGACCTCATGGTTTTCCATCTTTTTACCAGCAGAGCCCTTTTTACAGATGAGCTTTTATGCTCAGCCACAGTGTATGAATAGATAAAAGCATTGCTAATTGGGTTGAAGAAGTGGGAATGACCTCACTTCAGGTCTTCCCAACACGCCCACTGGTAAGGGACCCTTACGTAGCTCCCTGGAAACTCAGAGCACAGTTTAAAAACCGCAGATCTAGTCCAGCTCCCTCATTTTACAAATGGGGAGATGACCTTGGCAATTTTAAAGGAATTTTCACAGGCCTCTTTATCAG